ACTCTACCATTTATAGAAAACTTGGATACCTCAAGAAAAAAGGACAATCAATCAATTAAGAAAATAATTTAATCAAAGAAGACATTCAGGCAGCCACCAAAAACATAAAGAGATGTTTAAAATTATTAGCTGGCCATGAAAATGAAAATTGCAGGCTTGGTGGGTGGGTCCTAACATTATTCATAAATGTGCAGATTTAATACTAGGCAGACTGTGGTTGCCAAAATTATTATGAGTGAAGATACCAGGGTCATGATTAGATTCCATTGAAATGCTTGCTTGCTTGCTTAGAAGCTGTTAAAAAAACATTCTCATAATGGAGGAAGTGTCAATTACCCAGTATTATTTCAGACCCACTCTGAAATCTCCTCTTCATTATTCACCAGGATGATGACTAATGAATCAGAAAGTCACTGAGGAAGCTCTGATTTCCAGAGAAATTTTCTGTCCATGGTCTAAAAACCATCATGCAAAATGTTCCAAGACAGTAGAAATAAATATAACTATTCTAGTAATTTTTGGCACTCTCTACCTCTCTATTTTCAGCCAAAATCCATCTGACATCAGCAATGTTATCAGTGGAACCACAGACTCCTCCAAATCCACTTGAATTTCTGTCAGTTGTCTTTCAATGTACTAGTCTAGCCATTTTTAGATGATCTTCAGCAATATTTTACTTGCATGTCATATTAATTAATAATATTGTTTGATAATTTCCACATTCCATTGGATAACCTTTCTTGGGAATGGGAACAAATGGATCTCTTCCAGTCAGTTGGCCAGGAGATCTTCCAAGTTTCCTGGCACAGACTGGCGAGCACGTCTAAGGCTTCATTTGTTAGTTGAAACATCTCAATTGGTCCCATTGATTCCTGAGGCTTCCCCCCTCCCAATGCCTTCAATATAGCATGAACTTTTTCTGTCATCATTATTGGCTCTTTACCATATTAGTATATGTCCTGAAATATTTCACTGTCACCCAATTCTTTTCTGTACGATGAATCTGCGTATTTCCGCCATCATTTTTTTTTATGCTTCCAGGATCATTCAAGACTTTGTCCATTTGCATCTCTCAGTATTAAAGTAGAAGCTTGCTTTTGTTTTTCAGTTCTTTCTTGAGAAATGATGAATAAGTTCTTCAATTTTTATTTTCCAACTCCACCTCTTTGCACATTCCACTGCAATACTTTGCTTTGTTTTCTCAACCTGCCTTTTGAAATCTTCTGTTCATCTCTTTCACCTCTGCATTGCTGATGTCAAATTGATCTTGGCTGAAAGGTAAGAATATGAGAAGAATGTCTATTTGTGTTTTATTGACTATGCAAAGGCATTTGGCTGTGTAGATTATAACAAACTATGACTAACATTGAGAGTAATGGGAATTCCAGAACACTTAATTATGCTTATATGAAATTTATACTTAAACCAAGAAGCTGTTGTCAAACAGAGTAAGAGAATATTGCATAGTTTAAAACTGGGAAAAGTGTGTGTCAAGGATGTATGTCTCCTTTCTCCTTTCCTATCCAATCTGTATTTGAGTGAATTATTAGTTGTGGATTTTATTAAGAAGAGTGTGGCATCAGGATTAGGGGAACACTCAACAACCTGTGTTATGCAGATGACACAACTTTATTTGCTAGAAGCAAGGAGGACTTGAATCACTTGCTATATAGCATCAAGAAAACAAAAATCTTCACCACTGGGCCAATAGTCAACATCACGATAAAGGGAGAAAAGAATGACATTGTTAATGCTTTCATCTTGCTTGGGTCTATACTCAACACCCTTGGTATCAGCAGCCTGGAGATCTGGAAATGTATAGCGTTGGGAAAGCCTGCTGTCAGGGATCTCTTGCAAGTCCTGAGGAACAATGATAATCAGTTTAAAGACTTAAGAAAGTAAAAGACTATTAGTCCAAAGGACTAATGGACCACGCGACTTTCAGCGCCCATGACCCTGAGGTCCCAAGAGCTAGGGAGTGACTTACTACCACTGCTGAGCCCTCTGAAAGGGGTCATAATAGAATATCCCTGATGGAGAGGGAGAAAAATGTGGAACAAAACTCCAAATCATAAGAAGGACCAGACTTCCTCTCCTTCACTGACCCTCTACTTTTCTGAACATGATGTCCTTTTTCAAAGATTGGTTCCTCAGTTAATAGTATTACATCATGGTAATTTCCTGATTTCTAGACTTGTACTTCCATTATATAAAATGTCAATGTTGGGGAAGTCAGATGAAAAGTATACAGGAACTAACTATTACTTTTGCAATCTTCCTGTAAGTCCAAAAATATCCTAAAAAAAACAGGTAAAAAAGCAAATCAAAGAAATAGCTTAAAGCAACTATTTTATTAGATTCCAAGATTTTGTGGGTCAAGAATTGGGGTAGGACTGCCCTCTGGCAGTGGTCAAGGTCACTTGGTGCTATTCATCTGGTGGATAAGCTGGTCTTGAGCATTGAAGCTGGTTTTGATATTTGGCACCTAACCCCAGGGATAGCTAGGGTAGGCCAGCTTAGCTAGGGCCCTCTCTTCTCTATGAAGTCTCTTTGTTTCTTCATGGGGCCTCTCCACAAGTCTGAATATGGTGGCTCAGGGCTCCAAAAGTGAAAAGTCAGAATGTAGAAGTTGCAAATCTTTGAAGGTTTGGGCCTGGAAACTGGCAGAGGCTCACTCTCACCATTGCCCATGGTCAGAGCAGTCACAGTATTGCCCACATCCAAGAGAAGGGGGACACAGACAGCCCTTCTCAATAGACTTGGTGGTCAGCTTCAGTCTCCCTCACATAGGGAATGGCTTTCCTTTTCTCTTTCCTAGCACAGGATTAAGGAAGTGGGGTGATGCAATGGTTAAATGCTCGACTATGAAATGAGAAGTTGGCAGTTCAAACCCATGCTGTTCATAGGGTCATAATGAGTCATAGTCAACTGGATGGCACCCAGCAAAAAGAACAACAATCTCATTCTTTTGACATTTACTGCAACTTTCTTCTCTTACTTCATAATGTACATGGAGAGCTTCCTCATTCGTTTTTACCATGTGGAATCCCGTTTTTTTGACTATACCTTAATTTATGTAACTGATTCCTTGTTAATAGATAAGCTGCTTTTTAGATAAAGTCGGCCCAGTTTTCATCTGGTGGTCCAATCAAGTGGGAAGGTGTTTGGGAGGTGAGAGAGTACTTTAGAAGACAATAGAAGTTAGGCTTTGGAGCAAGACTGGGCAGGAAAGCAAAGGTGATAATTGAGAGGTAAAGTGGGTTCCCTCCCCTCAAAGAATCCTAGGAAGCTGGCTTCTCTGTTGACATGGTGCCTTTGCTCTGTTGTCTTCTCCACATGCCTCTTGCTTGATAGCTTTTGCCTGGCTCTGAGCCTGAGTACCTGACTAACTTCCTTAGACCTCATCAGTGGGTGTGATTGAGGTATGAGGAACTGGGACCTGGCTCTCTAAATTCCTACTCCCACTTGCACTCTCATAGATAGTGTTGTGGTGGTGTTATCTGCCATCAGGTCACCTCTATGTTTAATAGCTCTGAACTCTGCCCTATCCTGAGCCAGTCTTACTGTCTCTGACACAACTTCCTCATTACCCCAGTTACTATGTCAATCTATCTCATCTGGGGGCCTTCCTCTCCTGCACTTTCCTTCCAAGTTACTGATTTTGCAAAATTTTCTTGTAGTTTGGCTGAAGTATTAAGAGAGCATCTGTAAACTTGTATCAATAACTTTTTGGAGAATGAAGTAGTAATTATAGAAAAAAGAAGGAGATGAAAAGACTTTCAGTTATGCATAATACTCTTACAAGTGATATAATTCAATGTAGAAAGATTTTAGAAGACAAATTTGTTGTTAGTATTCTTGGGGCACAACTGCTGCAAAAGACCTCTCTAAAGTGCCAAGGAATAAGGATGTCACTCTGAGGATTAAGGTGCATCTCTTCCATGCCATGATCTTATCAATAGCCTCATACACATGTGAAAGTTGGACAATAAATGGGGAAGAACAAAGAATAATTGATGCCTTTAAATTGTGGTGTTGGAAAAAAGTGTTGAAAATGTCATGTACTGTAAAAATCTGTCTCAGACGAAGTGCAACTAGAGTCTCCTTAGAGGCAAGGATGGTGAAAGTGTATTTCACATACTCTGGGTGTATTATCAGGAGGAGCCTGTTTTTGGAAAAGGGCATCATGCTTGGTTAAGTTGGGAGTTATGTTAAAAAAAAAAAGGAAGACCTTCAATGAGGTAGATCAACATAGTAGCTCCAATAATGGGCTCAAACACTGCAGATTGTGAGACTGGTGCAAGATCACACCGTGTTTTGTTTTGCTGCACAAAAAGTCTTTGTGACTTGTTACCAACAACATTAGTATTTGTTAGTATTTATTATTAGTATTAGTACCTAACAACATTAACATTTCTATACATTTTATTTTATTGATATGGATTTGATTTGATTGATATAAATTTGATTGAAATTTATAATAAGTATTACTGAAGATTCTACGAAGTTAAGTATGGGACAAGGTCTGTGAAGAAAGGTGACCTTATGATTTCTTCACTGGGTAATCAGTGACGCCACTGTCTCTGATGCCACCAGCAGACCACACCCTGTATTCCTTCCCAGCACAGATGTGGGAGGAAATGCAAACCAGAAGAGCACTCAGATTGTGTACACAACACTGGAAAAATCTAGAGGTGGTAACTTCTTTCAGGATCACTGAGAAAGGTAGAAGTAGAGCCCCAACTAGGATTGGTGTGGGAGTTAAGAGGTCATGCAGGATTCCTGCCTCAGATATTTGATGACTCTGGAAAGGGCTTACTTTCATCTTTATCTGTCCCTTATTCCTTAGCTCAGGTATCCTGCAGACATTTCTCCTAACATCAGTGAAAATGCAGGGAGAAGAGGTGGAAGAGCGAAGCTTGAGCTATCTGAGTGGCTGCTGCCTCTCTCTCAGGCCTTGCTCTTTTCTGACTATGATTCCTCCATATGAATAGACAGTCATGACCTGGCAGATGACAGAGTCGTTGCTGCTTCTGACTTTGGTGGCCTCTGCATGGAGTGCCTCTTCCAGGAATCCCCAGGATGGGACAGACCTGCTTAATGTCTGCATGGATGCCCAGCACCACAAGACAAAGCCAGGTCCTGAGGACAAGCTGCATGACCAGGTGAGGATGGAGTGGGACCTGGTATGGACCAGGGAGCTGACCCTGACAGGGAAGAATTTAAAGGGATGGAAAATTTAGCTCTCTGGGGAGAGGAAGGAAGGAGTGACTGAGGTGAGCATGAAGGACTTTTTACCGAGAGATCACCAAGCCTATATTGGAAAAATAATTTATTTAAGCGTGTTGGGCATGTTTCCAGGATGGATTAGTGTTTGGAGAAGAACACCATGCTTGAAAGTGTAGAGGATCAGTGCAGGAAAGGAAGACCCTGGATGAAATGAACTGACACAGTGACTGTGGTAATAGGATCAAGTGTGTTAGAGATGGTCAGGATAGAGCAAGGTTCAGAGCATTTGTTCATAGGATTACTATGAGTCGTAGTCGACTTGATGGCACACAACCACCACCACCACCACCACCACCACCACCAATTGTAGGAAGCCCTAGTGGCCTAGTGAGCCGAACTGCCAACCCAGAGGCACATGATTCAAATTCACTAGCTGCTCTGCGAGAGAAATATGAGCAGTCTCCTCCTGTGTGATTTACTGCCTCTGAAAACCCACCAGAGGGTCAGCTATGAGTTGGGTTAGCGTGGCACATAACCACATGATATTCCCTGCATTCCCCCAAGCAGGGGAGACACTGGTGGCATAGTCCACAGGGAACTGTGTGGCTAACCCAAAGGCAGTGCCTCTCTGCTGGGTCAAGTTCACCAGCAGCTCTGTGGAAAAGTTGGGTAATCTCCTCCTGTATGCTATACAGTCTCCTGAAACCTGCTGGAAGGTCAGCTATGAGTCAGTTCTGACTCAATGGCAAAGAGATGTGCTGAGTAGAGGCCTTGGGTAGTGAAAACAGTTCAGTGCTCTCCTAGCCAAAAGGTTGGTGGCCTGAACCAGAGGATCCTTGAGTGATAGACCTGAAGAGCTGCTTCCAGAAGCTTTGAAATCGCTATGGAGCAGTTTTATCCTGCACATGTGCGGTCTCCATATCAACTAACAACAACAACAACTAAATGCTTTCCTCATAATCACGTCAGTGAATTCACCCAGAAAGCTTGTCTGCTATGTCAGTGGCGTTCTCTACTCCTATTAGTGAGGAAACTGAGGCTTGGACAGTGAATTGATCCATGTAAGGATTGAGAGAACAGCCATTGGCAGGGTCTAGGAGGGATTGCATTCCATTCCTGGAGCTCAGAGGCAAGGGAGAAGGGCAGCTATGTCCCTCATGGCCTTGTGACAGCAAACACTGGCAAACAGGTCAGGTCTCCACCTCCATTAGGTAGTGAGGAGACAGTGACAAGTCAGATAGCTGGGGAGAATTCCCAGTAAAAGGGAAATTGGCCTTGGCCTTTGGGGATGACTAAGAGTTTTCCAGGAAGACAAAGCAGGAAAGAGGACAACATGCATGTGAGTCGCAAAGAACACAGACAGGGACAAAGAAGTTGTCTGGTGAGAGCCAAGGATGTTGGTGTCACAGAGTAGGGGCTGGGAAGCCAGTGCATTTATTTTATAACTAAGTACACTAACACAACTTGGAGAGAGAACTTGAGCTTGAATTTGAACTCCAAGTTTATGAAAGATACCAGGATTTATTTCTTTCTGGTCCCTGTTTTGCTGGCTACAAAGATTCAGAACAGCAGAGGGCTGGTGATACTGATACTCCTAGGGGAAGACTGTGGCATGGACAGACACTAGAGGCTTGACATGAAGACAGGGAAGCCCAAATATCCCCATCACTACTAAGTAATTTCCAATGCTTCATTTGCTTCTAAGAGTTCTCAGGAGCACCTCCTCAAAATAGACCAAGACCTTTAATGTGAAAAGAAAGACAGCACCATTACAAATCTTTGGGGGAGATAGGTGGTTATAATTTTGAGTGACATGAGTTATGATGGGAGTCATTTTCATTAAGCTCCTGCTATAGAACAGGAGCTGTGGTAGGTTAGTGGTAAGGAATTGCGCTGCCAGCTGAAAGGTATATGGTTTGACTCTATCAGTTGCTCTGTGGGAGAAAGATGGGCAATCTCCTTGCAATTTACTGCCTCTGAAAAACCACTGAAGGCTCAGCTCTGAGTTGGTTCTGTCTTGACAGTACTCAACAACAACATAGACCAGGGAGTGGGTTAACTAAATAAACCTCAAACTCATTGAGGAAGTTGGAGCTGAATTATATGCTGAGCCTCTAATGGGATTTCTGAGGCTATAAATTGTAGGGGAGGACATAGCCCATCTTTCTTCCTCAGAGCCACTGGTGGGTGGATTTGTACACCTTTAGGTTGACAGTGCCTCACGGACTAGGCCACCAGAGCTTTCTGGGAGTGGATTAGTGCTGTTCATGACATCATTTAATTCTTTCAGAGGCAGGAATGCCAACTTGAGTGGCCCATAAGTGATTTTGTTGCTGGAGTTTTACAGCGTGACCAGGAATTCAGGCATTTGAAGAGGTAAAATTTATGCATGAAGGCAGGAGCTTTAAATGTTCTGGATCACACTTGGAGTGGGTTAGGTTGCTGGATGGGCTAAATGTGGTCCTATCCCCGTGGGTTTTCCTTTCAGTTTCTCCTGAGTGCTCTGACTTGTCATATATACTTTCCTTCTCATTTGATCTGAGAGATGGAATCCATCTCAGGGAGTTCAAGCATTTAGCACGTGACTGATGACGGACGTCAGTTCTTCTTAGTGCCAGCCAAGAGTGATTGATTTGTAAACAGAAACTTTGTCATTTCTCTGTTGTGTTTGCCTTCCTCCCACATCTAGCCAGGTTCCTGCTCAACCCTACAGGCAACTATTGTTCCTCTTGCCTCACTGCTTTCGAGATCTGCCTGAATCTGTTAGTGAGGAGTTTGAGGCCCTGGGAGAGCCAGCTCAACCTCCTTGACCTCTGTCTCTCACCACACCTGGGGCCGGGCTTCTCTGCTCCTAGTCTTCAGTGGAAAAAAATCTTCATTTTCCTATTTTCCAGGAATGCCCCTGACTTAAACTCTGTAAAAACTGGGGTAATTATTTTTGTTGTGGTCGTTTACAGTGTTATTTAGAGGATAGCCCAGGGCCTTTTTGCTTAACTGTTTTCTATGCCTAGAATGCTCTTTATCTCTCCCAACCCCTGACTAAAGTCATAAGCTTCATGATGGCAAAATTAATATTGACTGGGAACAAAATGAATAGTGTGAATAACCCAAATAATGTGAAGTAACTTGGTAAACTGTTAGGAGCTGTAGAAATAATACTTGCTCCCCTAGTCAGTGGCTCCCCTGGGTCTCCCACAGCCCCTGTTAAAAGACAGTAATTGCACATAGAAGGGAATATTATTCTCAGTCATAAAGAGAAATGAAATCCTGATGCAGGGACAAATTACCTAATAAGTAAGGTAAACATGTGCTTTGGGCATCAATAAAACAAGGGCATTCATTGGCATTCAAAGCAAAGATGCCAAGCAGATAGGACACAAGGAAAAGTGAGAGCTTCAATAGAAGGGGCCTGGCAGGACATGAAATGAAACTGTTAGCAGCTCCTCCAGTGTGTGAAAAGGTGCCAGCTGGAAATACAATTCACACAGGATTAGGAAGGAGGTGGCCCACAGCTACTACGGTTTAAACTGTGAGGCTCCAACACCTTCAACATCTTTGTTGACATCTGTCTCCAACAGCCCCTCCTGTATAATTAGAACTCCTTATTGCTGTGGTATCTGGAGAGTATACTGTTTCTAACAAACCAGAGGTGGGTGGGGAGGGACTGTCAAGTCTAACTTACTACCTTGCAACTGGATTCAGTATGTGTGGTTATTGTACAAAGACAGATTATATTAATTGATAGCAGGTCTCTGATTTCTCTCGAGACAACCATTTTGGACGGCATGTTCACCTCTGCTGCTCCAGGAACTCCAGACAGGCAGGCCAGCACTTTGCCATGATACAACACAAGGGTATGCTCCGTGCATGATAGGCAGACGCATGTACACAATGTAGCACACATTGCATAAAACACTCGCATGAATAACAATCTATCCACAACAAGGCAAATGTTAAAAAAAACCCTGGAAATAATGGTGTTTATGTAATATGACAAGTTTTAATTAATCTATCAAGTAAATGTAATTTTTTATTGTCTTGAGTGTGGCACGTACTACTTAATCTTTATCTGTTAATAAATGAGGTATTAGGTATGTTAAAAGGGTGTGAAATTCAATATTTATTTATCATGCAAATAATTTCTTTTTGCAGCAATAGTGTGTTTCTAAATTTATCTTCCAAGAAAACAACAAAAGATGTCTATCAGAATATTACATTTATATTTTATCACAGAATTTACATATTTCCCTGTAAGGAAATGGAACAATTCCTTGAGGAAATAAATTAAACGAATATTTAGATAATAAAACTTAAATAAATGTTTTTTATTTTCCATTTTCCTTCAGATATATTTTCTTTTAAGAAATTGATTGATACTACTATGGCTTGCAAAACAAACTTGCTTGTTGAGAAGCAATGCTATTATTATATCAATTATGTATGTATCCCTGAATATGACAGCTGAACAATTCCACAAAGAAATAAAACATACACTTTATAAATTTTGTATGTAATAACAATTATACTTCCTTTTTAATTTTGGACTGGTAGGATATACTACTCATTGAATTCTCTCTTGTCACCACATAAGAATACTCCACTGGCGTTGTACTGATGTGACTAATCTGGTCCTGTTCTATGCAAATCAACCCAAAACTTCAAATTGAGTATAAGCTTTTGTTTATATCATGATGACGATGTCACACAGTATCAAAGGATGGAAGGAGAGTGGTGGTAGGTCCACAAGTATTTAAGTATTATTTAATGATAAGAAATATTTGTGTGGATCTGAGAAGGACCTTCCAATAAACATTGTATGATAAAGAAATTCTTTCCAACCACCTTCTAACTATCATTTCTTTTGGTTATTTTAGACCTCAAAACCAAACTTACATGTTCCAAATGTTTTTAACTTATTTTCAAATACAAAATTTTG